CACCTTACCCTCTTGTCCCCCAGGGCCAGCTGCCTCTGGAGTTCTGTGGTCTGGGGACAGTGCCAAGGGGGTGGGAGATGCCCGCCCCTCTCTTTGCCAACCCCCAGGGCAGGGTGGGGGAGGGAAGACAGTATGGAGGGGAGGAGGATCTAGAAGGCAAGACAAAGGAAACCATCTCAGGCACCATCTGGTGCCCAGGGCCTTGGTGCCAAGAACTGAGGTCACTCCAAAGCCAGGGGCAAGAGCAGGAGGCTGGGGGAGATGCGGGGGAGCAGGGTGTCAGTCAGGCCCCGCACATTTCCTGGGGAAAGGGGTTTTAAGGCTAGGCAATGGGAGGTCTGAGTCTTCCTGTCCCAAAAGAGGGATGGAGTGAATGAGGTGCAGTAAACAGGGTCTTCTCACAGCTCTCTGCCCTTTCCCCCACAGAGCTTTGAAGATGGCCGCCCAGAGCTCACTTTCCCCTGCTAAGCCAGTCAGGGTGAAGGTGTGAGTGCATCTCGAAGGAAGGGAGTAAAAGGGTTGTGTGCTTGGAGATTCAAGTGCTGAGCTGGGGGAGCCTATGGGTGGTAGGGAATTCTGGAATATGCACTTTCCATCGGCGTGCAGGACACCCAGTGACCCCAGAGAGAAGCCAACTGCAGTTCTTCCCACCTGCCCCGAGACAGCAGACACGTGTAGAGAAAGGCAGCCTTAAGTAATAATACTTTTAATAAAATTAAGTTCTTAATAGCACATTTAATACATTAACCCTCCCCCTTCTTGGTTTCTCTGCATTTTGTGCAACATCACTTTGACTTGATTATTCATGGGTCTGTTTCATTTCCCGCCTTTATTTTGCTTTTGAAATCTTCCTTGGTGGATGTGTATGTGTCTTCACTAGATGCCTCAAATTAAGTCTGACCACAATCCTACTCTACTTTCTACAGTGGAGAGACCATCCCCCCTGCCCCAGGGTGTCTCCCCCCACCCACCCTACCCCACCCGCACCCTCGAGTGGGGAAGGGGAAGCCCTCCCCATCCCAGACGCTACCATCCCAAACTAGCGAGGGTTCTAGGACAAAAAGAGCAGGGGGGAATCTTTCCCTAGGTGGGGCGAGAAGAGTAAATTGGGGAGAGGGAGATGTGTTTGGGGTGTAGGGTCAGGGAGGAGCATGGCAGAGTTAGGGTGTGATGGAGCAGGTGTCTCTTGCCAAAAGGAAGGAGTGAGGGCTCCTCACCCTCTTGGACAGAAGGGAAGAGCCCTATCCGATTGCCTGCTGGGACTAATGGGAAGCAAGTGCTTAAAAATGCTTATTCCTCACATGCAAAAGCCAGGTGCCCCAATTTCCTGCAGGGAAGGCAAGTGGCTGAACCAGGGCACAGTGGACGACCCTTATCTGAATGGTTACTGATGGAAGTGGGTAGCAGCACAAGAGTTTAGGCCTGGGGTCACCAAGGTCCCTGTGCCCTTTCCCTGCCTCTCCGTATCTGGGGAGCTATTTTCTTCCAGGCTTTCAAGGACAGCATCTCCACTGCACCCCAATGGGTAGGAAGTCCTTTAAATCTAGTTTCTGATAATTGGCAGACCTGTAAAGCACCGTGCAGATTTAAAGGAGCAGAATCATCGAGATTGTTACTCCCACCACTGTCATGGAGGTCAAAAGCTCCACAGAATGCCAGATGGGAACAGGGATGGGGGACAGAGCCCCTCAGAGCTCTTGAGCCCAGAATGGCTTACCAGGCTGCTAACTGATCTATAGTGAAGTGGACGGAGGTTACATTCAAGGACTTTTGCAGTTAGGCCTGGGAGAAACTGGCTTAGGAAGGTTGGAGTGCAGCAGTCTCCATCCTGAGCCCCGGGACAGGGTGCACCCCATTGGAGTAAGAACCACCCAGCAGACTTCGGGATGGATGAGGGGCCCCCGCTGCATCCAGCCCAGCCCCCAGCCTGGTTGAGGAGATGATCAGCCGTGCACCCTTTCAAGACCCTGGCAACTGAGCCTCTTCTACTCACCCTGCAATTTAAAACTCCAAGGATTCTCAGAATCAACCCCAGCAGACTGGAAGCTCCCAATCTTAACTTGAAACCTGCTCCAACCCTGATCCCTGAAGATGGGGCAGCTCAGGGTGGACTTAGCCACTTCTCTCCTCTATTCTTCTTGATACTTTTATACATTCTACTGGACCCAGGGGTCCTCAATGCTACTAAACTTTAAGCTATCTGAATATTATCTACTAAGTAACTAGTAA